AATGGCTTATACATTAATAAAAACCAAATGCGCATACGCATACTAAGTGAGGACCATCCCCAGTTCTATACAGTTTGCAATGATTGAGTCCTATAGGGTGGCATTTTGATATATAACGCAGTGCAGCATGGTAGAGTGGTTCAAGTTTTGGGTCATTGCTACATGCATGATCGGTTTGGTATATTGGAGCCAAACTTCAGAGACATGTTTTATATTATCTGAACCTATAACATATTGATAAAATAACAGTAATAGGGGGACCTTTTAATTGTAGGTATTTAGTGTGTTGTTTTATGTTGAACATTCACACTGGAAGGGAACAAAGACCACAGTGAGACGGCACAGGAGCATACTGTATACTGCATGATTGGGTGGCATGAAACCACACACAAGCCGACTTGTCGGAGAGACTGTGAGGCTCTATAAAACTCGCCCTTTCCTTGATGTACACTGATGAGGTACATCAGCAGGGGAAAGTCATTATCGTTTATCTTGATTAAACTGCTTCCTTTATTAAATTCCCAAATCACAAGGGAGGGTAGTAAATGAAAGGGAGGCAGAGATAAGAACAAGATAACGGCTGCTTTTTCACACTTTCTAGATAAGCCCGTTATAATAGAATCTGCTTCTTTTCAGTCAATTGTGATTTCAAATCCCCAGGGAAAAAAAAAACTGTGAGGGAACAAAAGAATAACGCACAAAACTCGGGCTAAACTTACCTTGAAAGGTCGTGTGAGGAAGTAGGATGCGCACCAAAAGTATTTGACACTTAATACTTACAGCCCCATACTTACAGTTGACACAGAGATAAAGGACAACAGAAGGTCGTCTAGAAAAAAAAAGTTACCCATCTTTATGTGGCCTCACATTTGAAATTGACAGGGTTGGTACCCTCTTGGTAAGTTTCTTTATAGTTTACACCACACACACACACACACACACAACAACACACACACACACACACACACTACACACACACACACACACACACACACACACACACCACACATCACACACACACAGCATTATTGACCTTTACTTGGTGAAAAAGATACGCTTACATCTGGTTACCACCCTCCATGCCCTCAGTGCTGTGAACGGTCTCTGGTGTATAGTCTGCACTTTACTTTTATACATCAGTAGAAGATCTGATTTACACTTCAAGCAACACAGCACGAGGCGACGGGGGAGGGAGAAATAGACTAAAGAGGTAGGAAGAGACGAGAAGAGAGACAACGGAGAAAGAGGAGACTGAGTGGCCGTCTGGCTTGGTTTGATTTGATTTCATTAATGCAAGAGAAACATAAAGTAAGCATCGATTAAAGGTGGAGTCTTTGTTCCCTGTGGTCACTGCGGTTAGTTTGTCTCTGCCTAAGATGAGCTCTGCACGCCCAGCCGGTACATTGAAAGATCCACACAGCTTTGATAAGCGACTCCATCTCCCAGCTTCCAATCACACAATCCTCTTTTTCTCCCTCCGTTTCTTTGTTGCTCAGGGGTGCACATTTTAACCTAACCTTGGCCACTTGCTAGAACGGCTTCCTTTTATTAGACGCTGCTATGAAGTCCGGGACTTTGACTGCGGCTTTGGTCGATGAAATATAACTAGACTATGCCTGGAGACGCAAGGTGCTGCTTAGCGCACTTAAAATAGCTCTGACCTCACTCCTAATAGCTTAAATAGAGGCATCCATTACTTTTGACAAACTAGATCATGAACACACACACCAACACACACACACACATACACACACACACACACACACACACACACACACACACACACACACACACACACACACACACACACACACACACACACACACACACACACACACACAGCATGCACCGCTGTCTCCAGAGAGTTTGTGTTGTTGCAGGGTAAAATTCAACAAATCTTATTATGCTGTTTTTTTTTTTTTCAAACAATACACTGATGAGGAAAGCTGATGGAAAAAAAGTCCAATTATTATGAGGAAATGCGTCAGGAGTTTTGTGACTTTTTCAAATAATTTGTTGTTGACCAAAACGTTTCTTTCTAAACACTGGAGCCTGCAAAAAGTGTACCTTTTTAAATCATGGACATACTCTTTATATATCCTTGGAGGGAGCTTTTTATAAGCAAACACTGACTTTGTTCTTTTATTTGCTAATTCAGCATCAGAAATTAAACAGTAAAGCATTCACGCCTGACAACCATTATAGCCGTTTACAAATGTTTCGCAGGAATACTATGGATGACACAAAAGTGCTAATTTAGATCGAGTGTAATCTGGAGAGACATTTGCTGACCGTTTTTCAGACCATCTGAGGAAACAGGGAGATAACAAAGCGCATTTTGTATTTAGATATTTATTGGGAAACAAATAGGTTATCTCGTTCCCAGAACCCCCGAATTGTAATGTAAGTGTGACAAATTAAGATCAAAGGGGTTGTAATAGTAACCAACAGGAACACTGTATAACTAGCCTTGCTCTTCATTTGTCTAATGATGAAGTCTCTCAGAGAAAGATGAATCCGTCTGACCTGCTGAGGCATGAACACTTTAATCAGTTTTGGTGTCGTACACTTGTATCCTATTTCATACCCACAGCTTCTCACTGTTATCCTAACTGTTTTCGCAGTTACATGCCAAGCCAAAGCAATTACTTCCAAATAAGTGGTGTGAATATATTTCTAGTTCTGAATACATTTGATGACTACCGTGAAATATTCATTATCATCACTTAACACATTATATACATATAATACAAATATATGTAGAAATATACAGTAAGTCAGTTGATTCAGCATTGGATCATTAATTCATATGCCCCCTTACTCACTTATATTGACAGTCAAGTGTGACCCTCAGGAAGTGAATGAACATTCAATTGAAATGTTCACGTACATTTTTCCTTTTAAAGGAGACCTATCATGCTATTACATTACATTACATTGCATTTAGCTGACGCTTTTATCCAAAGCGACTTACAGTGCATTTGACCAACAAGATACAAACTTGAAGAAAACAGAATCATATAAGTACATCAGGTTTCATAGAGCTAAAACATTTCAAGTGCTACTCAACTGATTTTAGATAAGCCAGTCCTTTATTAGTATATAAGTGCTTTGTTAGCAATTCTTTGTTAGTAATTCTATCGCTCGAAGTGGAGTCGAAAGAGATGAGTTTTCAGTCTGCGCCGGAAGATGTGCAAGCTATCTGCTGTCCTGATTTCAATGGGGAGCTCATTCCACCATTTTGGAGCCAGGATAGCAAACCCACGTGTTTTTGCTGATGGGAACTTGGGTCCCCCTCGCAGTGCGGGTGCAGTGAGCTGTTTGGCTGATGCAGAGCGGAGTGCACGTGCTGGGGTGTACAGTTTAACCATGTCCTGGATGTAGGAAGGGCCAGATCCATTCGCGGCATGGTACGCAAGTACCATTCTCTTGAAGTGGTTTCTAGCGTGTATATGCAGCAGCGGGTTGTAGCAGCGATGTTTGCAGTGAAGGACAGTTTGTTATCTAGGATCACACCCAGATTCCTTGCAGTCTGAGTCGGGGAAACAACAGAGGTTCCGATGTTGCTTGTTAGTATAAACAAGTGTATATAAACTTGGGTTTTAAAGGACCAAGATCGGTATTCATCCAGTTGTTTGTAGCAAACCTGAACTAAGAAAAAAAGAGTCAGGGCCGCTATATTTTAAAGGACATTTAAAAAATGCTTCTATAATTCATGACATTCACACATAATCCAAACTTTTTTGTTTGTTTCAGGACTTAAAAAGCCAAAAGTTTGTGAAGCTCAGCATCGTCCACTGCCCACCAGTCACCATGGCGATTATTAGGAGGCCAGATCCCAAGTTTCAGCTGGGCTTCAGTGTGGAGGACGGCATTGTAAGTCAATATTAATATTTTGTGTTTGTTGCTATTTAACTGGACTCTGTGTCATCCTCAGTTAGTTGTGCTGTTTTCTCCAGTCTGTGACAACATTATCTGCTTATTAACTATTTGTCTTTATTTGAAAGTAAAACATCTCTTTTTCTGTTTGCAGATCTGCAGTCTGATGCGGGGCGGTATCGCAGAGAGAGGAGGCATTCGTGTTGGTCATCGCATCATTGAAATCAACGGGCAGAGCGTTGTCGCCACAACGCACGACAAGATCATCCAGATCCTGACAAATGCTGTCGGAGAGGTGAGGATGAAATGTTTTTATTTCATAAACAGAAACATAAATACAATAATAGACCTTTCACCTACTGTTTCTGCTTTATATTATCATGTCATATTTACAATTACATTAAAATGTGTCTCCCTGTTGGCAGATTCATTTGAAGACCATGCCAGCTTCAACATATCGACTTTTAACCGGACAGGAGCAGCCCGTGTTTCTTTGAGCTTTGCCTAAAGGAAAAAATACTGCACAGTGTTCAAGCTACCTGAACTTTTGCCAAATTATGAAAATATTATGCAATTTATAATACAGCATAGCATACGCTGTTGTCACATCACTGAATACAACAAACTAGTCTAGCTATATATTTTTAAGATTTTAAATACAATGTTATATTGTGAAAGCTTATTTTAAAGTGACGAGGATAGATGGTAGCTTCCCATTTATATTTATCTGATATTTAACAATGCAGGCAGTAGCTGAGATACAATGACTCATAAGCATAATATATTTGGCTTCACTTGCTTTTAAAATTGTAGTGAATGGTGTTTAATGTTCTGCACTAGAGTTGTTGGTCTTCCAGCCTGGTGTGTTGCCAGTGTGCCTCAGCTGAACGTGCTAAAAAGAGTGTGTGTATTACATTATGATGTACCGACAGTCCGTCATGTACACATGCTTATCAACTGTCAGAGTGTCGGTGTCAGTCAGAGCGCTCTGCTTTATAGACAAGGATTCACGTACTGTGCCTGAGAGGACGCCGATATCATGCACAATAAAAGGTAACTGCCTTATTTCATAGAGAGAGAAAGAGATGCGTATATTTTTAATAAATTGTTGTTTTGGATGTTCATTAAAATGATCTTTAAGATCTGTTCTTGATGTTATTTATTAAGAGTCAGTGGTCACTGACTAAATATCATTTGCAAAAGATGCTTTTTGATCGGTTCAAAATAAGTGACATACCTACGTACAGCTGATATAGCTCTCCATATGTTGTGCTTAACTTGTACTTGTCAACATATTTGATGAAGATGTCAAATTGATGACTACATAGTTCTAAAGAGAATAATGTAATGTTTGCAAGTGTAATGCCATTACTTAATATTTCCTGCTACTTTACTTATTAACTAATATGCAATGTAATCATATGCGTTTGATAATAAAGTGCTGCCTTTTATTTTTGTGAATATCGTTATAAGATAGTTTATTACTTATTTTCTGTCCATGAAGGTTGTAGCACAGTGGTTCTCAAACTTTTTCTGTCAGGCCCCCCCTTTGGAGAAAAAAAAAAGTCGGGACCCCCATCACAAGTCAGGCTCAGTGGCGGCGCCAGAGATTTATTTTTCGGGGTGCTGTGGGGTAGCTTGACGTTTCATAGAGGGTGCTTAAACATTTAGGGGTTTCCCATTAATGTATTTGTCGCTACAGTGGAATTTTCTACTGCAACAATCCCCACGCATATACACAACTACTGCAACTGTTACAATGAATGCTCGATAATCAGCTCACGGCATATAGGTGTAATCATTGTAACAGTTGCAGTAGTTGTGTATATGCGTGGGGATTGTTGCAGTAGAAAATTCCACTGTNCAGCAGACAGGTCCAGAAGGATGATGACAGAGGAGAGGGAGGCTGCTTTAGCAGTGTGCAGTTCCTCAGAGACAGCAAGGAGAGCAGTTTCTGTTGAGTGACCTGCCTTGAAACCAGAGCACTTCTCCTTTGCGTAATAAAGGGTAATGTTGTGAATCGAGTGGCCTGTGTTCGTCGTCCATAACATACGCCTGCCCATACCATAACCCCACCACCACCATGGGCCACTCGATTCACAACATTACCCCTAACCCTAACCCTAACCCTAACCCTAATCCTAACCCTCACACCAGATACTGACTGGTTTTCGGACCCCCCCAGACCCCCCCAATAAAGCAAAAATGCACGTTTCAGAGTGGCCTTTTATTGTGGCCAGCCTAAGGCACACCTGTGCAATAATCATGCTGTCTAATCAGCATCTTGATATGCCTCACCTGTGAGGTGGGATGGATTATCTCGGCAAAGGAGAAGTGCTCACTATCACAGATTTTTTTCAGATTTGTGAACAATATTTGAGAGAAATTGTTATTTTGTGTATATAGAAAATGTTTTAGATCTTTGAGTTCATCTCATGAAAAATGGGAGCAAAAACAAAAGTGTTGCGTTTATATTTTTGTTCAGTGTAGATAGCTAGGAACGTAAATATATATTTAAATGGATCATTTGAGAGTAATGTGTTCCATATGGAAACTTAAACAGCATCTCTGGCTAATTTCTGAAGCTCATAAGCTGTACAATTACACTAGAGATAATGTTTCCATGGAAACGTGTTTCCACATGCCAGAAATTAAAATCTTAGTGTAAAATAATTAAGTAGAAGAGACAGAATCTGTCCTGCTGAATTGACATTCTGTCTAACAGATTGCATGCAGATTACATTGTATCTACCAGATAATGAATTGATGAGAAATCAGAGAGATGAGCATTCTGAAAATAGACAGAATTGCCAGATTTTCAAGTCTGGAGAAACATAATGATTGGCAACAACAAGTTAATCTTAACCGTGGGAATGAATCGTTCCCTCATATTTCTTAGGCCACACATATGCATACACTATCCCTGTGCATTCACCTAGACAAAAGCCACTATATAACTTACATGTACAGTATGTCTCCAACCCAGAGTTTGAGCGTGTTTCTGTGCTGGAAGTAACTGGTTTAAGAGATAGAACAAGATAAGTGTGAGCATCAGCAGCTGCACTTGCTGTTTTTACAGAGCAGAGCAAGAACTAGATGGCTGATGTGACTTGATTTCCGACCTGTGACTCATGAAGTCTCTCAGGATTCAGTCTCCGACAGAACATCTGATAAAACTGTTGGTTTCTGATTGCCTGTTTCTTTGTCCTGATTATTACTCTCTCCTGGGTGTAGCTGTCTTGAAATGAAGAGGGAGTTTCAGTATCCTTTTCTAGTCTCCTTCTGATTGGAGGTTGCCCTTAATCCTTAAAGTCCAAAAAACCACAGACACGTGTTTAATCACTCATAAAATACATTTATTGAAGGTGTTACCCTGCTTTTCTGCCAAGTTTGTACCACAGGTACTGACACAAATGATCATAAAAAGGAACATATCACTACAGAATAATGTCTAAAGCAGCTCAGTCATTATTTGGTTCTCTTGCAGGACGATTCAGTGTGCTCTGTAAAGCATGCATGTTGTGTGATGAACATCAAGGGTCCATTCTTCAATTAATATTGTTCTCTATATGTGCACTGCCCTTAAGGCAGATCATACAGAAATAACCTTTGTTTTTACAATCAACCATTGATAAGGACACTTGCAAATGGCAATGTTACAGTAGTAGCACACATCAATAAGACGCTTACACAGCTTTTTAAAAGTCTCAGCCACTGACACATTCAAAGATTCAGCTACATTTTTCAACTAAGGGACAACAAAAACGTACTGTTAATAGTTTGGACATTAACAATTTAATTCGTAGACGTAGATTTGAACTTAACCTATATTGGCCTAATGAATCCCAACTATTACACCACATTTTAAGTTCATTTTATCATGATATTTATAACAACACAATTTAGTACATTCATGCACCCAAAATAACATTTGTAAGTTTGCCTAGCCCTTTACACATTAGCCCTTTCTGAAGCAGGTAGTGACATTTGTTGTAGATATTCATGGTTTAGTTTAAAGTATCCAAATAAAAATAAAATCCTAGAGCACAGTTTTTGCCAATTTGGAGTCTACGTGAGCTTTCCTCTGGCATCATCCTCAGGTCTATGAGACAAACCTGGTTGAGCACATTTATGCTGCCTGCGGATATAAACCAATTACTTTTTTATATTGGTAAAGTCTTTCCTCTAGCACTACCCTCAGAGCAAAATTTACATTTTAAGCTTTGTGTCAACAATGAAAAATAATGGCAGCAACCTTGCAGAACTTTAGACTTTGTGCCCTTTTATATTTTATTGAAGTATTTTAACCACAGTGCTGTTTTATCTGAAAAAAATGGATTATCCGCTGTGGAGTGTGGTTAAGTTTATTAAAACCAAATTTGAAGAAAATATGTGCTGCTGTGTCATTGTTGTGTCTTTTTATGATTCTCAACAGTACCGGTAGCCAGAAAATAGTGTTAAGAATTCAGGCAATCAATCAAATAAAAAATAAATCACACACAAAAAAGTGCTTTATCCAGTATATCCAAGGTAAATTGTTACTTCCTACCTTCCTACCTACCCATCCAACCCTCCACCTGTCTTTTCTATATTTGTATTCAATCTGTGTTTATTTATTGGCTCAATGTAATATTGCAGTCTGTTTCTTAACCCCCATTTCCTGAGCCAAACCTTAATTCAAAAAGACTCAAGTGTGACCCATAATGCTTCTTTAGAAGTCCCAACACAGAGAAAGATTGAGAAGCATTACGCAGGGGTCCATGGAGTCTGTTCAAGTGAGATTGAACTTGATGATCCACTCACAGATTTTGGAGAAAAACCACTCACAAAACAAAGTCAAGGTTAGTGACTTTACTCTACTGGACATTCTCTCAGGATATCGTCCTCCACTGCGGGCTGCCCAGCTCAGAGAAGTAAACACAACACCTGGATGATAAATTCAACAAGTCACAGAAAATCAAACAACTTCTACGCTAAGGTATGAGCCAGGCAAGCGGCTTTGTGTTTTCCTGGCCGAAGCAGGTGGTGAATTTATTATTTATGTTTAAACAGCATCCACCACTGTTCTGCCAGGTCTTTGCAAACTCTCTATCTGGGCTATACATATTCTCTATTCATATTAAAAAAAGATAAACAGTTTTCTTTTTGACAGATGACAGAGAGGTGTGATGTTACAAGATTGAAATGATATGTTGAGGTTATATTTCGACCACTTGGCTGCTAAGGCACTTCTAGAGTCATCTCACTGAGAAAGAATAGTGTTTTCAGCTTCACCCAAAGGGAAGATTATGGGAGAGGTGAGAGTGGACCAAAAAGTGGATGGCTGTAAAATCAAAACAATAAAAGTTGGAGGCGGCTGTTTTTATAGAGAAATACTGTGTGAGCCAGCTACATTTTAAAGACTCAACATTAGCTTAATTAACTCCAAACTAGCAACCTAAGTTGTTTAACCACATGTATTTGGTATGGTATTTTATAACTAAAAGGATGTAATGAAGCTCAGCGCAAGTTCAGGCATGAAGACCTATCACTTCGTATTGCACGTCATGGCAATACTCGCTCCCTTCACTAATTGATAGGGAGCGCCACTCCTCAAGCTAACCTATCACTTCCCTCCATCCACAAGCCTAATTATCGCACCTGTTAATCCTTCTATATATGCTCTCCCCTTTTCCAT